GCAACAAATGTACAAATGTGCTTGACACAATTGATGTATGTATGGATTGTGATAAGAGTTGTATGAGCCCCCAATAAAATGATTTTTAAAAAAAGTTCCAGTTTTGGCAACGCACAGGCTCAGTTCCACCTCTGACTGTCCTGCTGTGTTCCCGTGAGTAGCTGGAATGGCCTCCGTGGTAGTGAAGGTGGTTCGTGTGTTTGTTTCTGTGCATCAGTGGATGGTATTTTAAATAAAGTCTGATTTTCAATGATCATTATTCTAAATATTTTCAAAATCTTCAGTTAGAAACAAATGGATTTTAGACACTTTTAATGTTTTCTGAATTGTTAACTAAATATTGTCAGTGCTTTATCTTTTGTTATATTTTTATCAGGATATATTTCACGTACCATACAATTTAATCATGTAATTATATTAGAAAGATCTGTGTCATCATCCCCACCATCAATTTCAGAACGTTTTCTTCTTGTACTCATTGTTGTTAGCACCCCCCCACTCTTTCTCTGCCATGCCCTTGGGGGATTTTCAACTCAGTTACTGTTCAAATATCTACCTATCCTGGACTTCATATGTAGAAAATCATATGAAATAGAAGCAGGAAGCAAGCAACCAATCCTTGATGCCTACTTCTTGATTTTAAACCACTCAATATCTACTGGTTCTCTTTCACTCAGTAGCTCCTGGTCAATGTATCATTCCACATGAGCACAGTTAAGGGTTTTGTAATTCCCACTCTTCGCAATGTTATCCATAATTTCTCATGATCTACATAGACTTTGCATAGTCAAAAATAGGTAAGCATTCGGCTACAATCCCTCTGAAATCAGCAGTGCTATTCCTAGTTGCATGTTCTCTCCTGAATATGCCTTCCGTTTTTGGCAGTTCTCTGTCAATGTATGCTGCTACCACTTTTTACTAAGCTGCAGTAAAATTTTAGTTGTATGTGATGTTAATGGTATTATTGGATAATTTCAAATTCTGTTGGATCATTTTACTTAGGATTGAGCATAATATGGATTTCTTCCGATTAGCCTGGTAGTTACTGTTCACATTTCTTGGCATAGGAGAGTGCGCACTTCTAGCATTGCATTTTGTTAGAGTTTGGTTTTGTATCAACTTGGCTGGGCCTGGATCCTCCCATGATGTGATCTAACATAATATATTCCACTCCCTGATGGGACCGCCTTGCACAAACAGTTCTATGCAGATTAGGGTGGAGTTCTACCCTTTAATCAGGTCAGAATCTGATTAAAACAGAAGGAATTTTGTGGGGTCTAAGAGCCCTGGTGGTGTAGTGGGCTATGTGTTGGGTTGTTAATTCCAAGGTTCGCAGTTCAAAACTACCAGATGCTCTGTGGGAGAAAGATGAGGCTTTCTCTTCTCCTAAAGATTTACTCTCAGAAGCTCACAGGGGCAGTTCTACTCTGCCCTCTTGCTGCCCTCGAGTCAATTCTGACTCATGATGACCTTAAGGGACAGGCAGAACTGCCCCTGTGGGCTTCTGACACTGTAACTCTTAAGAGTAGAAGGCCTCATCCTTCACCCTGCTCAGTGGGGTTACTGTGAATTGGAATTTGCGTGATGGCAGTGAGTTTGATTTCTTTTGGGTAGGAGCTGGTGGTGGTGCTGGTGGTCCTGGTAGTGGTGCTGGTGGA